CGCGCCCAACGTGCGCGAGTGACCGAGCCGGTGGTCAGCCAGCAGCCGACCGCCCGGCCGCAGCGAGCCGACGGTCCGGCCAGAAAATGAACCAGCCGGTTTAGACCGGTTTTTGAGCTGTTCAGTATTTACTGACCCGGTTCGAGTCCAGTACAGTATTTCAGTTAATTTTTCAGTCCAGTCAGTCCAGTACACCGGTATCAATTCGGTCCGATTTTTCTTGTAAGTCAAGTTAAGTCCCGAGAATATTCCAGTTAAATATTTAGATCGAGTCGAGCATCTTAACAGTTATTTTCAATCAGTCTGAGTGTAGTACATAGTATTTGTTTATTTATATAATTTTTACAGAGTGATCAGCCGCAGCACTTACATTATCAGTACAGGTGGGGACTCAGACTGGGTGTTACATTGGTTATAATTGCTCTATCATGTTTTAAGGTATGTATATGAGTTATTCCACTCTGGGTGGAGGCACAGTAGCCTTAATAGGCCATCCCGAGTTCCGGTGGAGGCGCAGTAGCCTTAATAGGCCATCGGAATGTGCACATGGACGGACATAGTGTCCGAGGAGGTTCAGTTCAGTTACAGACCTTGTGTCTGGAGATTACAATTTACTTATATATACCTGCAGTCATGATATTGATATTATTATTAATGTTTACTTTAGTATGAGTTTTTGCGGAGTACAATGTTTATAGTACTCACGCTCCCACTATTATGATTCTTTTTCAAGAGACAGGGTCGGTCCGGAGGAGTGAGTGGAGCTGGTGGTCGCCGGTCCAGTACATGTAAATATGTATATATTTTTGCAGACTATTGATATGTATATATTTGCCACGTTTTACTTCCGCTGACATTTTCAGACTTCTAAACTAGCGTGTAGATTTTTAGACGACGATCCGAGCTTTCGGGTCAAGTTTTATACAGTATTACGCGCTTGTTTTATAAAAGATAATCCGTTTTTCGTAAGTGATTCTAGAAAATTAATAAAGTTAACGGATTTTTAGAAAAGAAATATTTTATGTAGCATCCCGAGATATGTTTCGCAAAATAAAATGTAAACTTTAGAAAGAAATTTGCGAAAATCGCACTCTGATTTTAGTAAGCTAGCGGGGTGTTACAAATTGGTATCAGAGCACATTTTCGTGTATCTGAATACTTTTAAAGTCAGAAATTTTTAGAAAAGACCCGACCACGCTACGCTCACGCCTCGCCGACTATCAGGTAAGTGCTGAGTTACAGTTTATATATTTAAACGAATACTTAAGTCTATGCTCAGTAAGAGGGTATCAGATATTTGACCCTAGAAATCAGTAAGATGCTCGAGTATGTTCAGAACTTAGTCAATTGTCCCAGTTATTTGATAGTTCGACTTTAGTATTCTCGGGTTATTAGAGACTCGTCAAGAGATCTATGTACTTAAGCAATCAGTAAGTTAATTTCTTATATTATTTAATCATGTTAAACCTTTCAATGTTCAGATGCCTCCTCGTAGAGAGCCAGATCACCAGGAACTCCCACAGGCCACAGTGGTCGCCCTGTTCCGCGACTACCATCCCGAAAAGTTTTCTGGCCAAGGAGATCCTCGTGTAGTAGATGAATGGGTTCAGGGTCTCGAGATTATTTTCGAGGTCATGAACTGCCCTGATCGTTATCGCATGTTATGTGCCCAGATCCAGCTGACCGGTGATGCTCGACTCTGGTGGCAAGCCTATTGGAGTATGTGTCCCGGTGAAAAAGATGGTTGTACGTGGGACCAGTTCAAGGAGCTGATCCGAGAAAAGTATTATCCCTCGTATTACCGAGCAGACATGGAGCGCCAGTTCTTGGCACTCACCCAGGGTACTCGTTCTGTCGACAAGTACGAAAGAGAGTTCACCCGTCTCGGAGCCTTTGTACCTGATCTTGTGGGTACAGAGACGAAGAGAGCCCACCGTTTCACTCACGGACTCCACCCAGCAGTCCACCACAACATCGTAGGTCACGGCGTCCAGACCTACGCCCGCGCAGTTGCCATTGCACAGGAAATCGATGCCAGTATCCGACGAGAAGCCGCCCAGACATCAATCCAGCCAGTTGTTCATCCACCAGCCCAGCCCAAGGTTGCCCAACCATCAACAAACAAGAATAAAAGGAAGTTCAAAGGAGGTCCAGATGATCGCAGGAACCGCCAAAGACAGAAGACAAATACCAGAATGCCCAACCTGCGGGAAACACCACCGTGGAGAATGCCTCTGTTGGTGTTATATACTTAAGCTTTGCTTTAGTGGATATTACACTTGTTAT